AAAAAGATCCATTTGGGAAGTTTCTGCCGTAGCAGTAGCTCGTTGGAAAGTTCAATTTTTCATTTGAAATATCTCATAAAAGCAGTAACCTTTTCTCCCTCATCCTTTTTGGACATCCACCTTTCACAGGACGCAAAACTAAACGCAAAAAAGATCGATTGAGACTGCCGGCAATAACCCGAAAAGTGATGGAGAAAGTTGTGAGCCACCGGTGGCTCATGTTGTCCCACGTGGCCACTCACTTATGAGCAACCGGTAGCTCATAATGTCGTCAACGCCCGTCCAGCGATCCGGGCCGTATCACGTAAGCGCCGGCGTCAGCTGGCGAGCCGACTGGTTCATGTACATTTCAGTACCAACTAGGAAGTTCAAGAGTAGCTCTTCAGAACCGCGTTTTTTTCACCCAAACAGAGTATTTTCACCCGCGCAAGAGATTGAGCACAGCGGTATGGAATTCACTTTCTCTCCACTAGCCGCACCTACTGGGATGTCCGAAAAGTGTTGTAACTAACTCAGTTCTAAGTGACCTAGTCAACCCAGCTATGGGGAATGATGAGTAATCGTTGTTGATCCCGTCACGTCCATCTTTCCTGATTCTGAGCTTTTTAGCTTTTCATGGTAGCTAAAGTAGAATATTCATTGGAACATTTTTCATGTAAGCCGAACTCCCTCTGTGCATAAATTGAGCACTTAAGCGAATTTTGTTGTGTGAACCTGCATATAAAGTGTTTCGGGATTCGCACTTCCACGTTTCTTTAGCTGTTTTTCTGTGCTAAAAAGTGCCCAGAAGCCAAGGAAATTTTCCGCTCAGCATTGGTTTCCTTCCAAGTATGCTTCGATAAAAATGCAAATAACAAACGAAAAAACAACAAAGCGTAGAAAAAGGAGGAGAGGTCGCATCTAGTCCCTTGGGCGTAAGGACGAGAACACATTATACAAAATCCTTATTGCACGACGTGCCCTGGTCCGTCAATGGAGACCAATTGTCTTTCAGTTGCCCACAGTTGATGCACTTGGTTTTTCTTATAGAGTTCATGAAGACTGAAAAACTCACCATTTTGTACACCTCGAATCATCGATGCCTGGACTGATTTGGAATTGGTCCATCCGCAGCGCTCCCTCGCTTCATAGTCTCACGTCTGACTATTTGTGCTGTATCTGAAGGCAAATATTTCAATTGTTTCTAAAAAAAATTGTTGCATAGGATCCATTGCAGAAAAATCGGCAGAAATAGTGAGCGATTCTGAAAGAGGAGAATTTTAGCAAGCGCCCATAATCTTCGGTATATGTATTCATTTAGCTTAATATCAGATCATCTCTCATGAAAAAAGGTGGAGACAAATGGAGAAATGGCAGCCGCCAATGGCCTCCGTAATCGGAAGCTGTGCCTTCAGCTGCGAATGTGCTAAATTTGGACGGCAGGGGCACAGATGAAAATATGGAGAGTTCAAGAAGAAACTTGAAAACCAGCACTCCATTTCTGAGTCGGGTATCGTGCAAGGGTGTTGTGCAGGAAAGTGCGCCACTCACAATGACCCTGGGGTGACCAGTTGTTGCAGAGAATGCTGGCTTCGGAAACACAATGTAGAAAGATCTGGTGCAGAAATCCAAAGAGGAAAGAACAAGGAAAAGTTTTGGTTGAGATGGCCCATAATATTTATGCTACATATGAAAAGCCAGTGGACGATTCAAGCATCGAGTGTCTGGTCATCGAGAATTGTCGAGATTATCCGCGAGACTGACATTCCTGCTGCAATCTGCAGTTAAAATTGCGGATGGTCAAGAAGGTATTTGTTGAGGTGCCTCGTTTTTACGCAAGAATAAACCCGTTCATTGGTTGTAGAAACAACGTTGTCCGCTAACATAGATTGCGACTATCGAAACGGAGCTTGGCCCAAGATGAAATATGGGTGTTCTTGCATTCTCAGCTCAAACAAGCGTCGATTTTGAACCAAAGACAGTTTCCGCGATAAAGTGTCATGGACAGTTGCTGTTCACTTATGAAACAGTAGCTGATAACTAATTCCTCGAGAAACATGAAGAGCAAGACGAGTCCTCATGTACAGCATAAGGCTAACCACTCCCTGACAAAGAC